AGTGACTATGAAATGCTAAGGGAAATTAGAGAGGATATCAAAATAAAAAACTCAATAATAGTGGGGGATTTCAACTATCCCTATACTGACTGGGTATATGTCACCTCAGGATGGGATGCAGAGGTAAAATTTCTTGATATCTTAAATGATGGCTCCTTAGAGCAGCTGGTTTTGGAACCCGTAGAACGAGAGGTAATTCTTGATTTATTCTTAAGTGGAGCGCAGTATCTGGTCCCAGTGGTAAATGTAATTGAACTGCTTGGAAATAGTGCCCATAATGTAATAAAATTTAACATCCCTATGGTGGGAAAAACACCTCAGCAGCCCAGCACTGTGGCATTTAATTTCAGAAAGGGGAACTACACAAAAATGAGGAGGTTAGTTAAACAGAAAGTAAAAGGTACAGTGACAAAAGTAAAATTCCTTAAAAATTTCCATGCAGCTTGCAAAGACACCATAATAGAGGCCCAACTTAAATGTATACCCCAAATTAAAAAACACAGTAAGAGAACCAAAAAACTGCCACCACGGTTTAACAACCAAGTAAAAGGAGCAGTGAGAGACAAGAAGGCATAATTTAAAAAGTGGAAGTTAAATCCTAGTGAGGAAAATAGAAAGGAGCATAAACTGTCAAATTAAATGTAAAAATATAAGAAAAGTCAAAAAGAAGTTTGAAAAACAGCTAGCCAAAAAAAAATCAAAAATAGCAAAATGTTTGTCAGTACATCAGAAGCAGAAAGCCTGCTGAATAACCAGTGGAACCCTTTGACAATTGAGATGCTAAAGGAGCACTCAAAGACGATAAGGTCATTGTGGAAAAACTAAATGAATTCCTTGCTTAGGACTTCACAGCTTAGGATGTTAGGGAGAGTCCCAAACCTGAGAGTCATTAGAAGAGGTTTTGGAACAAATTGATAAACCTTACAGTAACAAGTCACCGGGACTAGATGGCATTTGCCCAAGAGTTCTGAAAGAACTCAAATGTGAAATTGTGGAACTATTTACTGGTTTGTAACCTATCCTTTAAATCAGCTTCTGTACCTAATAATTGGAAGATAGCTAAATGTGACGCCAATATTTAAAAAGGGCTCTAGAGGTGATCCCAGCAATTACAGACCAGTAAGTCTAACGTCAGTACTGGGCAAATTAGTTGAAACAATAATAAAGAATAAAATTGGCAGACACATAGAAGAACATAATTTGTTGAGCAAAAGTCAACATGGTTTCTATAAAGGGAAATCATGTCTTACTAATCTATTAGAGTTCTTTGAGGGGGCCAACAAAGATGTGGACAAGGGGGAATCCAGTAGATATAGTGTATTTAGATTTCCAGAAAGCCTTTGACAAGGCCCCTCACCAAAGGCTCTCAAGTAAAGTAAGTTGTGATGGGATAAAAGAGAAAGTCCTCTCATGGACTGATAACTGTTTAAAAAGACAGGAAACAAAGGATAGGAATAAATGGTAAGATTTCAAAATGAAGAGAAGTAACTAGTGGTGGTCCCCAAGTCTGTACTGGGACTAATCCTATTCAACCTATTTATAAGTGATCTGGAGAAAGGGGTAAACAGTGAAGTGGCAAAATTTGCAGATGCTACTTAACTGCTCAAGATAGTTAAAACCAAAGCAGACTGTGAAGAGCTTCAAAAAGTTGTTACAAAACTAAGTGAGTGGGCAACAAAATGGCAAATGAAATGTAAGTTGATAAATGTAAAGTAATGCACATTGGAAAAAATAATCCCACCTATACATATAATCCCATCTATAAATGAATCCCGAGATTTTGGAGTCATTGCGGGAATTTCTCTGAAAACATCCACTCAGTGTGCGGCGGCAATCAAAAAAGCAAATAGAATGTTAGGAGTCGTTAAAAAAGGATAGAGAATAAGACAGAAAATATCTTATTGCCTCTATATAACATCATGGTACACCCACATCTTGACTACTGCGTACAGATGTGGTCACCTCATCTCAAAAAAGATATATTGGCATTAGAAAAGGTTCAGAAAAGGGCAACAAAAATGATTAGGGGTTTAGAACGGGTCCCATATGAAGAGAGATTAAAAAGACTTGGACTTTTCAGTTTACAAAAGAGGGGGATATGATAGAGGTCTATAAAATCATGACTGGTATCGAAAAAGAGAATAAGGAAAAGTTATATTATGGGAATAAGTAAATAAGAACTAGGGGTTACCAAATGAAATTAATAAGTACAGGTTGGACCTCCCTCATCTGACACCCTGGCTGGTCCCGAACAATGGGTTTTGCTGAATGAGGGGTGGTCGCTCCCAACATGGCGAGTGCTACCCCCAGCTAGGACTCCAGCTAAGATGTGCTGCTGTCTGCCTGGCTATGGCTCCCTAAGCTGGAGCTCCATGGACCACAGATGTTGCTGGACCATAGAGTCCCAGTTAAGGGAGGTACAACCTGTAGCAGTTTAAAAAAAAACAAAAGGAAGATTTTGTTCACATATCACATAGTTGGCCTGTGAAACTCCTTGCCAGAAGAGGTTGTGAAGACCAGGACATTAACAGGGTTCAAGAATTAACTAGATAAATTCATGGAGGTTAGGTCCATCAACAGCTGTTAGCCAGGATAGGTAGGAATGGTGTCCCTAGCCTCTGCCAGAGGCAGGGAATGGTGACAGAAGAGGGATTGCTTGATGAGTCCCTGTTCTGTTCATTTCCTCTGGGGCATCTGACATTGTCCACTGTTAGAAGACAGGATACCTATGGTCTGACACTTTATGGCCTTTCTTATGTTCTGTATCAGCAATGAGAGCCCAGATTATGCCATTTTTAATCTGACATTCAGATTCTTGTTTCAGGCACATTTTTCTTTGGTGGTTCTATTTAACCAACACTATATTATGAGGAGCAAAAATTCATGGGCTGACAAGAAGTTGAACACAGAGAGTCAAGTTCATTGCTGATATATTTAACATAAATGGAGTAGTGCCTCTTAATATCAAGGGACATTCAGCATAACCTTCCAGGTCTTTCTCATCAATTTCCAATTGATGAGTTGGAGAATACTGATTCTCCTAACTTCAACCAACCTTGTTAGCATACCCATTGCATGGAGTACAGTGATTAGGGTTAACAACTCTCTACTGTCCACAATCACACAGATATGCACTAAACCAGTGGTCCTCAACGCGGTGCCCACGGGCACCATGGTGCCCGCCGGGGCATTCGTGTTCTCATCAATTTCCAATTGATGAGTTGGAGAATACTGATTCTCCTAACTTCAACCAACCTTGTTAGCATACCCATTGCATGGAGTACAGTGATTAGGGTTAACAACTCTCTACTGTCCACAATCACACAGATATGCACTAAACCAGTGGTCCTCAACGCGGTGCCCACGGGCACCATGGTGCCCGCCGGGGCATTCGTGT